TATAAGTGCGGAGTCGAATCCCATAGGGAATTAACCTACTAATCACAACCATAAATTTCGCAAGAATTCAAGTAATCAACCTTCAAAAATATTATATAATGAGTTGATTGTTTATTAACTAAAAGCAAGGTAATTAAAAAGCTGTAATTTTAATACTAACAAAGCAAATGTTGTAGACAAGATTAGAAAGGTCTAGGGTTTTGATTTTCCTTATTGTCGGAATCTCCCCCGCTACGTCTCATATAAATTCGCCTAGATATTCTCTACCGATCGTGAGTACTCTAGGTGTAGTAATTCTCTTCCGAGCAAATATAATAATTTACTAGACGTATTCTTCCGAACTACGCTAGCTGGCACTAGTTTACCGCTCTCTAAGATCGCACCAAGGTTTCGTTATTCCTAATCCCACCCTTAAACCCTTTGTATTGATTCCTCATATACATTAGGAGTGATGTTGGTCAACAACCACAATAATCATATAATTGAACAAGTAGAAAAAAGTAAATGGCAAATTCATATTAAACGTAGTGAAAAAGTCATCCTTCAAGAGGTTCCATCAAACCCTAGATGAGAATTTAGCTACTCATAATTGTTTGCACAAATACAAGATTAAGATTCATAATAATGGAAAATTAGGAAGAAAGGGGAAAAACGTGAAGTTGAATCCTTCTCCTTGGTCCAAGTGTGTTCTTGCCTCTCTAAAGTCTTCTCCTCCTTCAAAAAGTGGCTAACTTTCATATTTATATGGTTTAGGGTTGAGTTGGGCCGAAACTGCTTCTCCTAATTCGAGTTGGAAAAGTTGAATTTTTCTGCCCCGATTCCGGTCTGGCGAAGTGACCTTCACTTTGCTGTCCAGGACTTTCCTTATTTCTTTTGCTTCGGTTCCGTTCTGGCGAAGTGAACCTCGCTTCGTTGTCCGGGACTTTTCTCTTTAGCTCATTTTTTTCACCAATATTTCTCCCATTTGATCCTTTTCTTCGCAAGTTTATCCCTACACATAAGAAACACATAATGAGCATATTTTCACTTGAAAAACGATGTGAACTCCCGCAACTCACACACGAAATAACACACTCAAAACATACACTTTTCATCCTTTATCACTACCCCACACTTAAACTCTTGCTCGTCCTCGAGCAACTTAAAGGTAAGCACATAAGCAAGAAACTCCTTTCAAAAAATACGCAAGTATCACACCGATGACAATGGTTTATATCAATGCTTAGATCCCAGCATATGCGCTCTTTATACCTTTCCTCAAGTTTTAAACATACCAAGATTATTTAAAATATTCGTATGGCTCTTTCTAACATTCTCGCCTCAAAACTTGACTCTAATGCATTCCACACTATGACTCGCGCCTTGTGCTAACTCAGAAATCAAGGTCTCTACCAATCCTTGCAAATCACGTGCCCTCACTAGTAAACCACATATAGAAAGTAGTCCACACACTCAATATAAGTTCAAGTATAGTTTAAGGACTCAAATATAGAAAGAATTCGCTCACTCACACAAAGGAACTCTTATGCCACCCACGTTAGTACCATATAATTGTCCGTAGTGTAAGTATCTAATAATTTAAGCTCGTAAAGTCTTGGATCAAGTAGGACTTTATAGGTTGTAATGTAGGCTAAGGGACGGGTAAGATATATTTGAGAAAATAGTGACTAACCCTCCTAAACACTTTAATACACTACAATTCACTTTTAAGCACTTTCTTGTCTTGACCAATTAGATATCTTTCCATAAAACCATACACATTTAGGCCCTTCTTCATTAAGCACATCAACATATAGTTACTTACTAACCCAGACAAAGATATGAGAGATGTTATTTTTTTTCACTCTCTTCAATTTGGTATTTCTGGCTAGTATTTTTTTTAATACACAAGTGCACCTTTTCGAACTTTTTATGGTTCCACTCAAAAGCTACCCACTCTCTTTCTTTACTCTTCTATCTACTTAACTGCTTTCACAGGTAAAGGTCCAACAAGATTTTATTAAGAACAAAAGGAATTCGCCTTGTAATGTGGTTGTCAAACAAAATATCTACATGCTCAAAAGGGTTGACTACGAATAATATTAGCACTGGTAGGCAAATAAGCTAAATGGTCAATCAAAGAAAGCCTCTATCACTTCCCAAACTTACAAGACATAATCATTTCGCTTTGACTCACACACAAGACAAGTTATAGACTAGCAAGGATGTCACAGAGTACATTAAAGTCTCAACTCACACAATGCACATGACTCACTTAGGACGGCTCGGACCTGACACTCGAGTTAAAGCAACTAGCACATTAATCATAAGAGTCTAGAGATGATCCTCGGTGTCAAAAGAAAGTCACACATATTGTCAAGGCATGTGATTATAGAGATCATGAAGAAAGTAATTTGTTCAAATGCTCCAGACCTAAGCCTCGATATAAAACATGTAAAAGCACAAATTACTTAAGCTTTTTCCTAATTCCATTGTCAATTCAACCAGAAAACAACATAAAAGAGAAACAAAAAATCTTTTTGTATTTTTCTTTAGAATTTAGTCCCTCAAGAAAACTGTCTCGGTAATCCATCGTCGGAAAAAATCCATAATTATTTATAAAGTTTGAAAAAAAAAAGACCTACCTAAAACTACCCGGTTCAAGAAATTAGCATCCTCGGAAAAAAAATCGCGGTTTAAAGAAAATCCGAGATTAAGCCACTACAAAATAAAAACTAAAATTATACAATTACAATGTCTATAAGAGTGATGATGCAATTTAAAATGTATCACTAGCAATTAAGCATAAGCCACAAAAATTAAAACGTGACACCCCACCCCTTACTTAAGAATGTGCACTGTCCTTAGTTGTACAATATCACAGAAATATAAAACTCCCTCAAAATCACTCGGGTCGAACCTAGCGCCATTTTTTTAATTTGGAGAATTAACGAGAAAATAGAAAATATAAAAAATAAAAATACATGGGGTCGTGCCAGGACCGCACGACGCGCGACTTGGAGATGCACCCCTTTACCTAATTCAGCTATGACCGGTCCCGGTCTCACGAAGCGAGGCACACTTCGTTGTCCCCTCTTCTATTTTTCTTTCTCTTTTGGTCCTGGTCTCGCGGAGCGAGGCTCACTTCGCTGTCCCCAACCATTTTCTCACGAAGAGAACTTCGCTNCGTCGCGGCACGACGAATTTACAACATTACAATGGGTTGCCTTCCACGAAGCTCATGATTTAACGTCGCGGCACGACTTGGCTATCCTTTATCAAGGATCTTTCAAGTACATGGTTGAAATCACTTTATCTTCCTCAACCATGCCTTGATAATGTTTTAGCCTTTGCCCGTTAATTTTGAACTTGCGGGAGCCATCTTCTGATGCAATTTCTACGGCTTCGGCGGGATTCATCTCTACCACACGAAATAGTCCTGGCCATCTTGACTTCAACTTGCCCGAAAACAACTTCAATCTCGAATTGTATAGCAATACCACATCTCTAGGTTTAAAATTTCGCTAAAGAATATTTTTGTCATGCATCATCTTCATTCTCTCCTTATATAGCCTTGTACTCTCAAAAGCATAGTAGCAGAACTCATCAAGCTCGTGCAACTCTGTGATTCTACGTATACCCGCTATTACCAAGTCGAGATTCAGCTGCCTTATTGCCCACAAAGCTCTATGCTCTAACTCCACGGGTAAGTGACATACTTTCCCAAACACCAGTTTATATGGAGACATGCCAATTGGGGTTTTAAAAGCGGTACAATAGGCCCAGAGTGCATCATCTAACTTTCTTGCCCAATCCGTTCTTGTAGCATTCACGATCTTTGTCAACACACTCTTTATTTCTCTGTTCGACACTTCCACTTTCCCACTTGTTTTTGAATGATATGGGGTGGCAACCATATGTCGAACACCATATTTTTCTAACTTTGCGAAAGCTCGGTTGCAGAAGTGAGTGCCTTCATCACTGATTATTACCCTTGGAGTGCCAAACCAGGTGAATATATTCTTTCTCAAAATACTAATGACTCTGTTTGCATCATTTGTAGGGAGTGCCACAACATCCACCCATTTTGAAACATAGTCTACAACTACAAGTATGTACTTGTTGCAATATGAGCTGACGAAAGGCCCCATGAAATCGATTCCCCAAACGTCAAACACTTCCACTTCCTGAATTGGATTCATGGGCATCTCATGTCGGCAAGAAATATTCCCGGTCTGTTGGAATTCATCACAACCCTTCACCCAGAGGTGTGCTTCTTTGAACAATGCCGGCCAGTAGAAGCCCGACTCCAACACTTCTGCGGTTGTCCTTACTTCCCTGAAATATCCACCATATGGGGATGCATGACAAGCCTGTAAAACAAAAGATTGGTCTGTCTCGAGGATACATCTACGAATCATGTTATCAACACAAATCCTGAACATATAAGGCTCCTCCCAATAATACGTGTGACATTCACGAAAGAACATTTTCTTTTGAACAAAGGAAAGGTCATAGGGGACAATACCACTCACCAGGTAGTTTGCAATGTCTGCATACCATGGCGCTACCTCAAGGCTCGTAGCCAACAATTATTCATCCGGGAAAGTCTCCACAATCCCTTCCACCTCAACCTTCTTTTCTGCTGCTTCCAACCAAGACAAGTGATCAGCCACTTAGTTCTCCGTTCCCTTTCGGTCACGAATTTCCAAGTCAAATTCTTGCAGAAATAGCACCCATCGAATCAGGTGCAGCTTTGACTCATTCTTTTCAATTAGGTATATGAGAGCATCATGGTCAATATAAACAATTACCTTCAAGCCTATCAGGTATGACCTGAATTTGTCAAATGAGAACACCCCTGCTAGCATCTCCTTCTCGGTCACTGTGTAATTTAGTTGGGCACCACTCAAGGTTCTACTTGCATAGTAGATTGGATGCATGACTTTATCTTTTTGCTACCCAAGAACTGCTCCCATAGCATAGTCGTTTGCATCACACATCATCTCAAAAGGTTGCTCCTAGTCAAGTGCAACTATAATTGGTGCAATCACTAGCTTCTTTTTCAATTCCTCAAAAACTACCATGCAGTTATCAGAAAACACAAAGGGGTGATCTTTTTCAAGCAATTTACATAAAGGATTAGCAATTTTAGAAAAATCTTTTATAAACCGCCTATAGAAGCTGGCATGACCAAGGAAACCTCTTATGGCTTTTACGGATGTGGGTGGAGGTAACTTCTCAATTTCATCAACCTTAGCACGGTTCACCTCAATGCTCTTACTTGACACTAGGTGTCCCAAGACTATACCTTCATGTACCATAAAATGGCACTTTTCCCAGTTTAGTACCAGATTAGTCTCCATACACCTCTTCAATACTCTTTTCAAGTTCATAAGGCAATCATCGAATGAGTTCCCCACCACTGATAAGTCATTCATGAAAACCTCCATTATGTCATCTACCATATCTGTAAAGATGGTCATCATGCACCTTTGAAATGTGGCGGCATTGCATAGGCCAAACAACATTCTCCGAAAGGCATAGATGCCATACGAACAGGTGAACGATGTTTTCTCTCTATTTTCCGGGGCAATAGAGATCTGGTTATACCCCGAGTATCCATCCAGGAAGCAAAAGTGGGACCTCCCTTCCAATCTATCTAACATCTAATCAATGAATGGTAGTGGGAAATGGTCCTTTCGAGTGGCCTTATTCAACCTTCTGTAATCCATACAGATTCGCCATCATGCGACTGCTCTTGTTGAGATTAACTCGTTGTTCTCATTTTGCACTACCACCATTCCACCCTTTATTGGCACTCACTGAACTGGGCTGACGTAGTTGCTATCAGATATGGGGAAGATGATTCCCATATCTAACTGCTTGATCACTTCTTTCTTCACCACTTTTGTCATGTTAGGGTTCAACCTTCTTTGATGTTCTCTAGAAGGTTTGTGACCATCTTCCAGTAGAAGCTTATGCATCAAAATGTTGGGCTGATACCCTTTATGTCGGCAATGGTCCACCCAATTGCAGTCTTACACTCCTTCAGAACTTGCAAAAGTTGTTCTACCTGCACATCTAACAAACTGGATGAGATAATAAGAGGTAATGTTGAACTAGGTCCTAAGAAAACATACCTGAGGTGAGACGGTAATGGTTTTAGCTCCAATTGTGGTGGCTCTTCAATTGATGGCTTAGTTGGAAGGGTCTTTCTTTCTTAGACTAAGTGTAAAAGCTCGAATTCGAGCTATCTTTTCCAGTACCCTTGGCCTTCAAGAGCCGAAACCTACTCCGCCAAGTCCTCACCATCTACCTCTTTTAAGTTCATGAGGTAGGTTGCTAGGGGTCTTTTGCATTCAGTGCCTCATCTTCCTTCTCCAAAATCATATCCACAGCTTTAATCATAGAGCAATTAGCAAAACTCACTAGGTCGTCGCATAGACTTTTGCATATTGAACGTTATTTCTTCATCGTTTAGTCTCATATTTAGTTCCCCAGTTTCACAATCAATCAGAGCTCTACCTTTAGCCAAGAATGGCCTCCCCAAAATTATGGGAATATCTTCATCAACTTGCTAGTCCAGAATGACAAAATCTGCCGGAAACACAAACTTTCCAACCTGCACAAGTACATCATCAAGTATACTTGAAGGCCTCTTCATAGTTCGGTCGGCTAGTTGTAGTAACATGGATATGCGTCTTGCCCTTCTAATGCCTAATCTTTTATAGATAGATACGGGCATCAGGTTTATGCTTGCCCCAAATCACACAATGTGTTGGCAAAAGCATAGATGCCTATGGTGTACGGAATTGTGAAACTCCCTGGGTCGGATAACTTCTCCGCTATAGGTCTTGTCACAACAACACTACAGGTTTGAGTCAATGTCACAGTTGCCAAGTCTTAAAAGTCAAACTTGCGAGACATCTAGTCCTTCATCATTTTTGCATAACTGGGCAACCTGAATGTTCACCTGAATATCCTTCAACATATTCATGAATTTCTTATACTGCTCATCCTTCTGATATTTGGCCAACCTCCGTGGGAAGGGTGCTGGCGGTCGCTTCTTTCCTGTGACTTGAGTTCGATCCTGCTCGGGCACTTTTTCTGATGACTTTTCTCGCACTTCCTCAGCCTCCTTTGCAACCTCTTTTTCCTTATTTATTTCCTCCTGGGCTGCCTGGATTCTTATTTCTGTTAGCTCAGTTGACTCATCCACCCCAATCGGTATTGGCACGAGTATCTCAGTTAGTACTAGACCCAATGAGTTGTTCTTTAATTTCAAACAGCCCATCATCTTATGACACTATCTGTTGCTGTTGGGGTTGTTGATAAGCTAGTTGTTGATTCTTCTGATTGTACCCTTGTTGCATTTTATAAGGCACAGCCTGACCCTGTGGTCGTGCAACTTCAAGATTATTATTATTATTGTACTACTGTTGTGCTGGCGTATATTATTGATTCTGTTGTCCCCAAGTCTGACCACCTTGTCTCCGGCTTCCATAGTTGCCCGCATAGTTCATATTCTCTTGGTAGCTTTGATTGTCACTTTCATGTTCACCACTCCACGAACTTGCATATGGTTGATTAATGCATGGTGTACATAAGCCCCCATTAGTCGTGTCAACTATGTGTACCTGCTTCTGTCATGATTCATCAATCTTCTTGGTGATGACACTCATTTGTGTCATCAGAGTGGCCATATTCTTAGCTATGGAGTTATTTGGGTCCAATGTTATCGAGTGAACTACATGGGTGATTGTAGTGTCTCTTGTCATCCATCCTGAATTTTGAGCCATTTTATCTAGCAGAACCTTACATTCTCTAAATGATTTGCTAAAAAATGCTCCACTTGTTGAAGCATCAACATTGGCCTTCAAGCTGTTTGCCAATTCCATGTAGAACCTTTGTCCCAACATCTGATCCGGAATGCCATGGTGTGGACACTTAACCAGCATCCCTTTGAATCTATCCCACGTCTCTTGCAATGTTTCCGCTGGTTTTTGCTTGAATCTCAAGATCTCATCAACTTGTTTGGCAGTCCTATTGGGTGGGTAGAATTTGTTCAAAAACTGCTTGACTAATTCCTCCCAAGTAGGATGGAGTTTATGGGAAGCAAATTTAGCCAAGTCCGAGCATCTCCCGTCACTGAGAATGGAAACAACAACAACCTTATTGCTTCCGGTGTCACATTTGGTTGCCTTTGCGTGATACAAATTGACAGGAAATTTTTCAGATGTTGCTGAGGATCTTCAATGTAAGACCCGGAGAACAGTCCCTTGTTCTGCAGGAGATGTAGCATGTTGTTTGTGATTTGAAATGACTCTGCTTGTATCTGAGGGATTGCAATAGCGGTTACCAGATTTTCAGTGGTGGGTTGTGCCCAATCATACAAAGCCGCTTCTGGCACGAAAGGTGCCACACCCTGATTGTTCGGGTCATTCACATTGTTTTGGTTGTGTATTACATCACCCATGTCTAGTTCGATTCAATCCGTTAAGTTCTATTGTCATTTGTCTTTCTTGTTTGCTCGATTTAGTGCCTTGAAAGCTTTCTCACGGTCTGGTAATGCTTCGTACAATTTACCAGTTCTTGAGGAGTTTCTATGCATGCACCTATAACACACAAGACTACAAGCGTTAGAGTTTCAATATGATAAATTTCAAGTCGAGAAAGCTCACTAAACTACGAATTCTAGCTATTCTTCAAGCCGTAATTAATAACACCGTTAACTCCCCGACAACGGTGCCAAAATTTGATCCCCCCTAAGTATGCCTCCTAAAAGGTCTAGCGGTCATTGCAAATATAATCCGGTTTACAAGTCCGGAATCGAATCTCACATGGAATTAACCTACTAATCACAACCACTTGGAAAGGTCTAGGGTTTTGAGTTCCCCTATTGTTGGAATCTTCCCCGCTATGTCTCATATAAATTCCCCTAGATATTCTCTACCGATCGTGAGTATTCTAGGTGTCGTAATTCCCTTCCGAGCAAATATAATAATTTACTAGACGTATTCTTCCGAACTACGCTAGCTGGCACTAGTTTACCGCTCACTAAGATCGCACCAAGGTTTCGTTATTCCTAATCTCACATTTAAACCCTTCGTATTGATTCCTCATATACGTTAGGAGTGATGTTGGTCAATAACTACCTAAATGTGTACCCTTTTCTAAGCTATACACACTAAATAGGCACGATCAATTGAGGGCCCTTCAATCAACCACAATAATAATATAGTTGAACAAGTAGAGAAAAGTAAATGAAAAATTCATATTAAACACAATGGAAAAGTCATCCTTCAAGAGGTTCCATCAAACCCTAGATGAGAATTTAGCTAGTCATAATTGTTTGCACAAATACAAGATTAGAGTTCATAATAATGGAAAATTAGGAAGAAGGAGGAAATACGTGAAGTTGAATCCTTCTCCTTGCTCCAAGTGTGTTCTTGCCTCTCCAAAGTCTTCCCCCCTTAAAAATAGTGGCTAACTTTCATATTTATATGGTTTAGGGTTGAGTTGGACCGAAATTTCTTCTCCTAATTCGAGTTGGAAAAGTTTAATTTTTCTGCCCCGGTCTCGGTCTGGCAAAGTGACCCTCACTTCGCTGTCTGGGATTTTTCTGGTTTCTTCTGCTTCGGTCCCGGTCTGGCGAAGTGAACCTCGCTTCGCTGTCCGAGACTTTTCTCTTCAGCTATTGTTTTCACCAATTTTTTTTTCCATTTGATCCTTTTTCGCGCAAGTTTATCCCTACACATAAGAAACATGTAATGAGCATATTTTCACTTCAAAAACGATGTGAACTCCCGCAACTCACACATGAAATAACACACAAACACACTCAAAACATGCACTTTTCATCCATTATCAGTTGGCAAAAATTATATAGTAAATGGTGTGCTTCCTAGTGGATTGGTTAATTGTAAGCCCCCGTGAAAGTTTTCCAAAAAACAAAATCGGGGTTATGTGATGCCGGTATAGGCGTAGGTTAATAATAGTAGAAACGATTCAGACTTTTTGGGTTGAACAGTGCGTTGGGGAGTTTAAGGAAAATATTTTGCAGAAATAGGTATTTATGCAGCCCAATATGCGGCCACATAATCACTCTGCGGGCCGTAGGATGGCCGCAGAGTGAAGCAGTTATTTGGGTCATTTTTATGTCAATTTCGCGGCCAGTTATGCGACCTCACAACCGTTTTGCGGGCCACACTTTGATCGCATAATCAACCTTGGACTTTTGCGGAGGGAGGTTCAGCGGCGCATTATGCAACTGCAGAACAAGTTTGCGGGCCGCATAACTACCGCAGACCTAGGCATATATGTTTTCAGTTTTTAGCACCAGATTATGCGGCCGATATGCGGACCGCATATCCATTCTACAGTCGCATATGCGACCGCATACCCTGTTCCGGAGCTTCATTTTTGGAGTTTTTAAACCCGACCCTATCTCGTTAAAATACATACCATAATCCATTTTTGAGCATATTCCTAATATTCTTAGAGTGAGAAAGAGTTCTTAGAGTGGGGGAGTAACCTTCAACCTATTATCCGTAAATTCTTGCTCAATTATTGAGGATTAACAAAGAAGTCTTCATCCTAAAGGTAAATAATCTATGCCCTAGCTCTTAATTTCGAAAATCTACAAAAGGGGGAGTAATTAGAAAGACAATTCTTGGGTGTAGGGGTTGTTATCTTGCATGCATGTGTTATCAAAGAATGTGGGAATATTGTGAGCTAAAAATGGTAGAGAATGGGTTGGGGAATGATGGAATCTTTCTCAAAAGGAGCTTAAAAACATTAATGCACACCTAGTATTTGATAATGCGCTCAAATGAGCTAGAATCATGATCATCTTCCTAATTTTAGTTCAACTTGTTATATTTCTAAAATAGATTGAAATTGCTAAAAATTCCAGAACGTTTTAAAAGTTTAAGAAAACTCAATAGAGGTATGTTGGCTAAACCCCCTTCTTCTTAGAATCGAATCCCACGGTATTCACGTAACTAGTGTAAGTCCCAAATTGATCATTATAGGATTGGCTATTCCTAAGGTGTTTGTGTTGAATGATGTATGTTCAGTACTTATTCTAAATGTTTCATCATGTCATCTTGCCATCTGAGGATGTGTTCAAAATGTGGAATATGTGCTAGAAATATTATGACTTCATGTCAAGATCGAATAAAGGTTGTTATGTCAAATTGTATGAAAAGCCTCTATGTGCCTAAGATTCCCAAATTGCTCGTATGTGAATTTAATGTCTTGAATGGGAAGCCTTATTGTTGTTGATAATGATAATGATGTTTGAATTTTGAAAGGGGAACTGAAATTATGAAATACGGCCAAGTGTCAAGAATGATTTTATAATTGTGGCCATTAGTACCAATGAATTGAAAGGATGTGAAAGAAGTATGATGTAAGATGATTGACTGAAAAAGGTAATGTCTCGGGTGAGACGGCCTAGCTGATCGGACCGTAATCGGACGTCATGCCGCACGCATGGTGGTAATTGTGCTGGAAATTATAATGAAATTATGGTTATGGTTGATGTCTCAAATGAGACAACCTAGCCGATCGGGTCGAGATCGAACTCCGTGTAAGAATACGGAGGTATTACGAATTATGGTATATCGTCTTTAAAGATCACCCAACCTAATAACATGGGAATTGACTTGAGAACTTATGTGATCCTTACTCGATGTTTTAGTATTGTTTGAAGCTCTTATTGAACTCATGATTGTTTTCTCCTTGTATTATTATTCATTCTATTAAGATGGTGTTTAATTTACATACTAGTACTATTCGACAGTACTAACGTCCCTTTTGTCGGGGCGGTGCATCTTTAAATAGATGCAGATGGCTCCATAGCAGGCAATGTTGATCGACGATAGCAGTACACCTTCCTCCTAGCAGACTTGGTGAGCCCCACATCATTCCGGGGTCATGTATCTTTTGTACATTTTGTTATCATGTTTGGAGGTATAGTCGTAGCCTTGTTGGCGGCATTATCATCGTACTCCTTTATATCTTTTAGAGGCTCCGTAGATACTATGTGGATTGTACATGGGTGCTAGAAAGGTTAAACAGATTATGTTCTGTTTTGATCTCTTGTTCCACTCGAATCATAAGAATGCGTGTATCTTGAAACTTAAAAATGATGTAACCAATGAGATGATTTAGTATTGTATATATGATCTTCCTACTGTCTAATTAATGAAATCATGTCTTCTCTTGATCATGGGTGAGTTGGGTAGAAAGTATCTAACATGCTTGCTCGACCGGGTTCACTCGGTTGAG